CTTAGTAAGGGGGGAAAAACTTTCCTTTTATGTTAAAAGTCTTGTTGCCATAAAGACCAGAACACTTATGAAGTTGTCTGGGGAAATAAATGAAAAAGGGAGTTGAAAGACAATTTCAATTGTCATCTTCTGATTTTACAAAAATAGATAAATTCAATTCCATAAATTTTACTTTTATAAATTCTACCCCCCAATTTCTAATAAAGAGTCAGAAATCTTCCTAAAATGCAGCTATTCAGTTGGGGCCATCGGGTAAGAAGGGTGTTCTAAAAATACTGAAAAACTGATGATAACATTTTACCTTGTGAACGTTCCTATGTAAACCACGATCTAATTTTTTTTTAAGTTGCTCTGTTAATCAACTCGGAGATTCTTCCTTGATTAAGTCTGGTAATTCCTGTGATGGTGTTTAGAAAATACGGTGTGGAGGGGGGATGAAATAATTTTCATTAAATAGTAAGTACCACGTTGTGATCCCACCCGAAGACACCAACTAGCTCAGCCCGTTTCTCTCTCCCAGTCTCCCTATTCCCACTCACAAGGTCTCTGGCCTAAAAAACCTCCAGTCCTTTCCCGTAAGATCACCTCCGCCGCTGGCCCCTTCCTAATAAATTCAAATCCAGTAAAACCACGAAAGAAGGTGGGTGTCGGCGGCGTGGGTTGAGAGGTAGACCTGTAACAACAAACAGAACTTGGGCCGAGTCCTCCCTCCCGCTTGCGGGTTTGGACTGTGGCGGCGACCTCGCCCGAGATGATGCCGGAATAGCTCCCCATCAGAGAAATCTGCGGGAGACCGCAGGGGTGACGGGGAACCCGCAGGAGACGCCGGACGACCGGGGCAGCCGAGGCAGCGCGACTCACCGTGGCATTTGAGGTCGCCCTGGGAATCCTCCCGCTTGTCCAGCTTGCTTTTGCTGTCCTCCTGCTCCAGCTTGGGCCTGAAGCTCTCGTGCGCCGCGTTGCTCTCCGGCTTCGGGGTGTGGTGGGGCGAGGAGACGCTGGTGCTGTAGGGCGCGCAGGCCGCCAGAGGTTTGCTGTCGCCCAGGATGTCCTTAATTAAGAAGGAGGAGGTGGAAGTCCTGGGGGCTGAGGCGGCCGAGCCCGGATGCTGGGCGGGAGGCTGCGGCGGCGGTGGCGGCTGCGGCGGCGAAGGCTGCAAACTTGGCGCGGGGGCCGCGGCGGGCGGAGGCGGCGGCGGCTGGCTGTGGTGCAGGTGGTGGTGATGCTGGGGCCCGTCGGCTACCAGATGCGGCTCCGGAGGCTCCATGGTGACCGAGATGGGAGAGGAAGGCGCCGTTCCGACCGTATCAATCTCTGAACAGGGGGACGGAGTGGCCTGACTCCTAAAATCCGCGGTCCTCGCCTCGCCGAGCGGGCGGAAATCTCCGTTCATCATGCCGGGGCTGCCCGAGCTGGCACTGGACAGAATCGTGTCTATTCCGAAACTCGACCCGCTGGCCCCTTCCATTGTTGTCATTTCTACATGAGGTCCACGCCCGCTCCGCCGCTCTGCAGCCGCCCCAACAAAGCAAAGGAAGCTATCGATCGCAAAACAAATAAACACTAAACAATGTTGCCGCTTAAAAAAAAAAGTGGGGAGGGGAGGAAGGATATGGGGAGGTGGCCATCGGTGGACAGTATCGACCAGACTTTC